TACCAAGAGCCACCCTAGCCAGGCTACTCTCTATCCGATCTAGACATGGCGATTTTGCCTGGTATCATCAAAAGTACAACCACAAGGATGCAAACCTCACCTGTTCATGCCGACAGGACAAGACACCAGAGCACCTTGCGCTTTGCCGCAAGACCCTAGGGACCTTCAGCAGATGGCCACTTCGACCACCTATACCGCCGTCTAGCCAGGCCGATGGCCTAGCGTACACTGCAGTACTAACAAGGGAGCCAGAGGCCTTCGAAGCCTTTGTCAAACTTACACAGTACTACACCAAGATCTGCCCCCGCTAGCTCTTGCAGTCCTGCAACAGCAGCAAGCAATGCAGCACCTAGCAGTAGTAGGTCCAGCACAACAGCTGCAGTACTCCCCACCCGTCTACCTCTATTACCCTTCCCCCTACCCCTCTCCTCCTCTCTCCCTACACGCACACACACACACACACACACACACACACTCCCTCTCTCTCTCTTGGCACATAGATGCCTCAAAATGCAAGGAAATCACCCTAATGTACATACATCGCTCAGCCTCCCCAACTGGACGAGGAGCTGTAGTTTTAAAATGGTAGCAATACCCGCGCAGGCAAGAAATGCTTTCTAAGGTAGTGTGTTCGCACTGTAATTCTATAGCTTAGCACGTCGCATATGCCCTTCGGGAGGCGAGATGGTGGACTTTGTCCCTATTAACTAGACGTAAAATGAATACCAACCAACCAACCAACCAACCAAGCCTACTAATATATAGGTAGTGTTAGATTGCCTTAAAGTGCAGCTATATACCCTACTAGTAGTACCTCTACCTAAAACGCTAACGTGGTTTATCACCAAGCCGCCAGGTATCACCGAACCGCCACCCCTCACCAACTTTTTTAGAGTCACTAACTATTACACAACTATTACGCTCAACCACAACACTGCACTAATACTTACAATTGCTATAATTACTCTTCAGAAGCAGCGCTATTATCTGCATCTAATATTTCTGCAGTGCAGGTGCGCAAATTGTGGCCAGTCTTGCCGCAACGTCCGCAGTGCCTCTCTTTGCGCACCTTCTTCCCAGACTGTTCAGATGCCTCACCACCACCACTGTCCTTCTCAGCTATCATATCCTGTACCTCACCAACCGTGAGAGCCTCCTCTGTCCAGATATACTTTCTTTTGCGACCACGCTGCGCTGTCAGAGCCTTAATAGCCTTCTTCATGCTATCCATTTCCCTTCTCTGCAACACGTTGGCATGGTCTATCCGCGCAACCCCTCTAGCAAGCGAGTCAAGTGATTTCATAATAGGAGACAGGGGCGAATCTCTGTGCAATCGCATGCGCTCACAGATATACAACGTTTGTGACTCAACCTCCTTTGCGCTGGTTGGTGTTTTGGATTCCCATGGGGTAGTCTCTGGTGGTGGTGGTGTTGGCGTGCGAAGGACCACATCAAGCTTCAATAGCACTCGCTCTGGGTCAAAAGGAACTAGTCCCGCGCCTCTGAAGCCTCCGTGGATATTGTCTTTTGTAATAGCCTTGTAATAGGCTGTCTAGAAGCTAGTAAGGAAGAACTCTTTCTTAATTTATGTCTTTAAGTATCATAACTAGGCGTCAACCTCAATTAAGTACGCCCTCTTCAAGGGGCCAAAACAGGCCACGTCAAGCAGCTGCAACAGGTGCGACAAGTGTAGGGGCATACACAAGGTGATAATCTTGTGTTCTGCGCAGTATTCCTTAAACTCTGCAGAGTTGTGGCTCTTGTAGCCATCAATAATAAGCAGACAGTAGGCGCCAACAGTACACTCTTTTATAGACGCGTTAAAGTGCTTTAACCACTCTAGACCAAGCTTGTTTGTTGTCCAGCTATTCTCGCTAGTCGCAATTACCTAATCGCAAGGCAGATTAGGGTACTAGGTTGTAATCAGGACCTTGCCTTAGAAGATAATAAAGGGTGGGATAGCCCAGCCAGCAGCGCAGACACCGATGATGATTGTGACCCACTCCTAATTGCCAGGCTAGATATTCTTAGGGTCAGATCGCTTCTCTGAGCCTGTGAACACCATCTTAGACCTAATTATGCCCATCATGAACCTAGTCTCATCAAAGTTGTAGGTATCTCCATCCAGGATTCCATACTTCTCCTTTGTATTCCTAACCAGCTCAAACCAGGGCGTTATAACACGTGTATCTTCATTCAGGGCTCGTTGACGATCGTACGGTCAGCTACGTTGAAGCTTAATTTGTTGGGTACGCGTGTTGAACCTGTTTACCCAGAGCTTGCCAACAGGTCCTTCACCACGTGCAGCAAGCAGATCATTAGCCATATCTTACACCATAGTCTTTGTTGCGCCTATTCCTTGCCTGTCCAGCTCGAGTATACAGTCAACTATTGCCTCCTCTTCTACCTTTGTTAGCTTCTTTAAATTGGCCTCGCGATCGCGTCGTGCAAGCCCTCCTGCGCGTCAGTCTCTCAACGTTGATCAGGGAACACCAAAGGCCTTAGACGCGTGATTTATACTGTCAGGCACAGTAGCTTTTGTAGCTTGGATAGCAAGGTATAGTGTACCTTCGTTATAGGGTGATTGCGCGTTGCGTTGTGATGGCATTGTAATAATTATCGTAACAGTCGCAAAATTGGCGAGGGGTGGCGGTTCGGTGATACCTGGCGGCTCGGTGATAAACCACGTTATAGCAATTTAAGACGCTAAGTAATACACACAAGTTTAGGTCTTAATCTAAGCTTATAAGTAACTCCTTCTAATAATTACTAAGTATAGTGTAAGAAGGGTTCTTAAAGCTTATAAAAGGGGCTAAAGAGATGCTACACAAAAATATCCTTATTAAGGCCTACGTGTAACAGCTTAAAGAGTAATTAGTAGTAATAACTAAGAGAAAATCACGTAAGAGAAAGCAGATTTAGCATAGTGGCACACTTAAGTATAGCCCAGCAGCATCACAGGTAGCTGCTGAGGCGTCTGTAGCAGCTTAGCTATCTAAGAAGACTTAGGGTAGAGGTACTTAACTAGAAGCTTAGTTAACTATTCAGCGCTGTAGGAACTGCAGCAAGACTAGACATAGGGCACAAACGTGCTAGGAGGGTGTAGAAATATCTTCTAAATCTAATACAAGCACACAGTATGCTAGGTTACTATTTAATAGTAAGTAGTTGTAGCTGTAGTAACTTATGTTAATTGTGCTAAGAGAAAATGGCTGGTTTAGTGATATTGCCAACTTAGTGATAATCTACGTTATTGCAACGATAACAAGATTATCACCTTATGTATGCCTCCTTACTCATCGCATCTCCTCTAATTCCTCAATGAGGGCTATTTTGCCCCTTTAAAGCAGCCTTACAGTGTAAGAAGCTGGCCGCTGAGGGCTATGTGTAAGTAGAATTCAGATGGAATTGATGCAGACTCTGGGTTAGGCTGGCGGAATGGGTATACTCCAACGTCCTTCGTGGGTACCCCCCAAAACCTTATCAATAATACATGGATTCTAGCGAACTAAGGCTGAAAAGAAAGAGAAAAACCACCTCTACATTTTTGTAGTAGAAGGTTTTGTTATAACTATTAAACTGCACAAGCTAGAGGCTAGAAAATGTTAAAAAAGGGGGGGTACCTAGCGAGCATACCTATTAATAGGTATACTTTGCTAGGTAGTGTTAATAACTTAGCTAATACTAGGCAGAATTAGCTAATTCTTTTTTTATTAGAAGGCGCAATACTAGGCGCTTCTATCGAATAATAGATTATGTAAGCGTATCTCTGCTAGTTAAGAAGCTATAAGCCAAAACGTAAAAAAGCATACCCTACCCATCCGCCAGCCTACTCTGGGTAGGCTGGCGGATGGGTATGCTCTAAAGTCCTGTTTGGGTACCCCCCCCCCCCTAACGTAGCTAACACTAGGCCAATTTAGACGAATAAGGGCCCCTTTTAAAGAATATTACATGTAGTTTATTTTCCTTACACAGCTTTTCCTTGTCACTCTTATATTACAGCTGCTAAATCTAAAACACAGTAAAAAAAGGGGGGGTACCTAGTGAGCATCTCTATCCTAGGTAGGCTTTTGCTACGTAGGCTCAATAACTCAGTCAATAGTTGGCTAAATTAGGTAATTATAATCTATCGAAATGTACATTACATAAGCGTATCTCTACTAATAAAGGAGCTAGAAGCAAAAACAAAAAAAGCCTACCCTACCCATCCGCCAGCCTACTAGATCCTGCAAAATTTCTGTCTTAATTCTATTTACATATAGCCCTTAGTAGCTAGGTTACTTTAGGTCTCTTAAGACGTTTTAGAGTTTATATGCTATTCTAAAGCTAAATCTAGTTTTTTATACAGATTACTAAGTTATTAAGACCTTTTAATAAAAATCTGTGGAGCCGCTTGGATCTCAAGCTCGCTTAGGCGCCAACTTTATACATGTTGCAACTTCACTCCGACACAATCTCGCGTTGCGGGTTCGCACGTCACCACATCACAGCTATTCGGCCCGCCTCTTTCGGGCGGAACAGACCGACACCCCAGCGAGTCAGGGTCTTCGAAGGCTTCCACACACAGTGCTGTCACTTTGGCATCGTTACTGAATCACGATCATGTTCAGAGTGAGACTGTCAAATGTGTAGAGACGCTTGTGGTGTCACAAGGACACAACGAAATGCTGGCAACATTGTGAATTATGGTAGGTATGCCATGACTCCCGTAGCTAGCCCCGCACAAAAGCTACCGGTATTGCCGTCGGTGTTAGTCTGCTTTTCGCACCTTTTGAGCGGTCTTCGGCCTAACGAGGGGCACGATTGACATAGTCTAGCCTCCAGATTACCCGCACGCAACGATGACAGCAAGGCAGCTCCAGTGCTAATCTGCAGAGCGCGGCTTGGAGGCTGCCTTTATACTTCACGGGTGCCCAAGCCTAGGCACGTCACTTGCTGAACACTTATTCCATTGGCGCAGTACCTATTTGACAGTCTTCCACAGATCACCGACAAGCACCATGACAGGCATCCTTTGCGTCTGGGCTGCAAATTTGCCAGAATGTTCTGAACAATGGTACGAAGACGAGTACATCCCAGAGGTGTTATCTCGCCATTCAGACAGGGCCCTACTGGCTGAGATGGTTGAAACCCCCTTTGACAAAGAACTCGAAGGTGTTGGAACAAGAGATGCTGTGTTTAAGAGCCTGGTGTTGTATGAAATCGCGGAAGTCCCAAAGATCATAAACGCGACATACGATAAAAGCAACCATCCTGTAATGGATGGGCTACTCAGGGAGACCAGGTTTGATACCAGACCCTACGAACTGATCAAGAGCTGGCAATCCGACGACGATTGGAATGGCGGTAGGTGTCCTCCGTGGATCCAGTTGCGGTTCATTTTAGTGATCTGAGTGTTCAATGCTGACAAGCGATCAGATGCTGCGGACGTTGTTTCGATACTTTTCTTCGAATGGCAGCCTCACGCGGGCTTCGAAGAGGAGGTGGTCGGATACTACGAACGTGAGATGGGCTATTTGCTTTGCCAGGCTGTAGAGACGCTACGAGTGCGATGGTTCCAGATCAAGAATGCTACGGTGCTGAAAGGTAATTTGTATAATACCTTAAAGAGCGAGGACTTGCACACCTACATGTGCTTGGTAGAGATGAGCTGCGAGGAATGGCCTTGGATTGAGTTTTTCGAGATCAATGAGCTACCTGGGTGGAAGAAATACTTCGAAGACCAGAGACGCGTGGTGAGTTTGCTTGAAATACTGAATTGGGGTCAGACACTGATACAAGGCAGAGATGGCAAGTCAGCCAATATGTGGTGAAACGCAGCTATCCTGACGCGGAGGGTGACGAAGATGACGCATGAAGCGGGGCTGATTGACGAAATTGCATTCCATGGGCTCTTCACCTCTATATGTTACGGATTTCGTTGAGTCGTAATCGAGGAGTACAAGCGGATTCGAACCGAAGATACCAAGTACGCCATACTTACCAATGTAACTTATTCCACTTCGCTAAAGGGACGACTCGTCTCGCATAAGCATTGCCTCCAATCCACTTTGCCATCGAGATGAGCTCAGGTCAACAGCTTCTATGCAATCCACCAGTCCTGTTTCACAAACGCAGAGGTGGCAATCATTGAGACCTCTACACCGTAGGTAGTTAAGAAGCCTACAATAGTGGAAATGGCGTGATGAAACAAGCAGCAACTGACGCCGAACCAGGTACACATCATGATGCTTACAATAGCAACACATGATACATGTCGAGAAATGCATCAAAAGGGTTCGAACGCCGGACTATCACTCCATCTCGAAGAAACTATCAATACAACAGCGCTCCGTGGTATCTCAACATAGCGAGCCAATCCGAGCTCCGCTTCGTGGTCTCGCAGCACTCCAGCACTGTGCATTCGCCCAACTCGCCGATTGGACGGGCCTTGCTATTTAATACCAATGACTTTCCAGTGACTATGCCAAGTTGCATCAGCTTCTCGACTCCGGCGTAGTTATCTTTCCGGATAGCATTGAGGATCGATGGAAGTTGCGGCCGATGCAGAGCTCGGCCTGCGTCCCACTGATGTATCATATCGATGAGTCCGACGTAGCTGAATTTGGTCTCCACATCCTTGTCAGTTTCGGTGCAGAGCAGGATCGAGTCGTATACTGGAGGCAAGGCTGCAATCTCGCCGCGACTGGCAGCTGCGGAGATGTAGTCCAATAATACGCGCACATTGCTCTTGTTCTTTCGCCTTATGGCGACGTCGAGTGCCTCGTAGGTAAATTCGGAAGCCATTGGAAGCATCTCGTGTAGTACCGCCGTTGCTGCCTCGCCGTTTTCGCTTGCTGCAAATTGCAGAGTGTTCATATTCTCAATCGCGGGATCTCTGGGATGGGCACCAGATCGAAGCAGCACTCTCGAGACTTCTAACCTATCTAGTGCGATTGCAACGACGAATGGCAAGGCTTTGGTTTCCCTCTTGTTACGCCTGAAGAAAATTTCTTCTCTGATCAGTGTTGGCTTGTGCTGCAAAAGAAGCTCAACGCCTTGCGCTGCATCTGCCGCAATAGCCCTACCCATAGGTGTCCTCTGTCCCGCGTCCGTCTGTGTGCGCTGAGAAAGGCATAAGTCGAAGTTTCTGTCAGCAAGCAGATGCAATATACGCAGTGCATCATCCGGCCTCCTTTGCCACGTCTCTTTACTGAGCGCACTAACGGGGGAGACGAAGCGTGTCTTCTTTCCTTGGTGTTGCTGAAGATCATCTTCCTTTTCGTAATCTTTCGTGGCACTTTTCAGAGCTAGCATCTCCTCGACGGTGTCGGCCCAGCCGGCACCCGCGAAACAAGCAAGGACCGAAACTTCATATGTGGTTTGCCAGGGTCGGTTCTGGTAGTTGGTAGACTGTAATTCGCTTTTGCTGTCGAACGATCCGGAAACAAGAGCCGCAGGGTCAAATTTGGAGCTGCCCATGATGAACCTCATGACGCTCATGCCAGCTTCAACGTTCTCCCAACGCGATATTCCATCCAGGACGCTTAATTTCGCTAATTGGACTTGCGTCTCTGCCCAGTAGTACTGTGTATCTTCGAGCTGGCGTGGCCATTGTTCAGCCACAGGCTTGGCACCATGAGAGGCTATGAGGCAGCTTGCGAGCTCTGCATGTTCCTTGTATGCAGCAGACAAAAGTGCATAATCGATTGGAGTGTACTTAACTTTCAGACGAACATCGCCGTAATTTGCGCCGTTGCGAAGCAAGAAATCAACCACCCTTGCGTGCCCTGACGTTGTTGCTTTCGCTAATGCCTCATTTTTGCTTTTCTTTGTTCTGCCAGAAGGGTCTGCACCCATGGACACTACAGCCTTTACAAGAGATAGGCTGCCCTCTGTTGCGACTTCTTCGAGGACTCGGCTGAGATGATCTATGGTGGGACTTCCATTGCTGCTGCCTGCTGTGTTCGACCTCTTCAGAGAGAACTTCTTGGTGGACGAATTTGATGACCCCTTTCTGCTCGCTGTGATGTCCTTCTTCTCGAGTCGACGCATGATCTCTGCCTTTGCCTGATCTGGGGTCATATCCGGCGCCTCGTTCTCATACGCGCCTGTTGTGAAAGCAGCAACTGAGAAACGAGGCTTCGACAAAGGACTGCTCAGAGAACCACTAGGTGATGTACGCTTCTGCACTGAACTAGTACTGCTACTATTGAAGCTGCTCACGGTCCCAGTTTGAAACAAGCTTGCTGGTAGAAGGCGCGTTGGGCTCATCGGAACCCGAAGTGGCGCAGGTTGCCGGTCACCAAGGCCGAGCGACACCATCGAGTTACGAATGCTGCCTTCGCCGCTGCCTGATTTCGACACTGGGAGCTTCATGGGCAGTTTCGCTACCCTTTCAAATTTTAGAGGCTGAGGCAAGTCCGAATGCGAACGTGATTGAGGAACCAGGGTAGGCGCTTGTGACAGAAATGGAGGGCTGTCCTGTGGCAAGTGATGCTCTTGAGATGAATGGCCTGGAATTATGCTCGGCGAAGAAAATGAATGGCCCATAGGTGGCTTCGTGAAACACTCATCGAGTACCAGGTCTTCTGAGTACCCCAATGATGAAGTCCGAGGCGCAGCCTTCTCGGCAACCTGGAGTCCTTGAGCATGTCTTCTGTACTGTGGCACATACGCTGCGAGATCGTAGGATGCGTCAGCGAATTTTGATGACCATCGCCTTGGATTCCTTGACGGAGGCGGTGGTGGAGAGGCGTCCAGCTCTTGGACCGTTGTTGAGGCCAGTCTCGAAGGTCTGGTATCGTCCCACTGTAGAATTCCTCCGTACAGGGCCTCGTACTCCCCCAGCCCATCAGCAAAGTGCCCTTCCAGATTCTGCGTCAGAGTTGCGGGCTGCATGGTGGATGTCGCGCGTTAAACGCTGTCTAGGAATCTGGGTGTCAATGATAGTATATCAGGCTGAAAAGAAATCAAGCTGGGTAGACCCAGCTGCTTCGTCATTATTGACTAGCCATACAGCGGCTGAGAAATCGTATCGAAACGGATGTGAAGGGCTACAGGGCTGCAGTCATTCAACGAAACGCACGCCTCCGGCGCGGCACAGCTTAAGCTGAGCTGACCGGTGATACGGACAGAGAAGAACACAAACTATTCGTTATGGTTCTCATTGTTGCTGCGGTCAATGCCGCGAATGGAGGATGGTCGCTGTGGTTGCTGAGAACGGTGTTGTAAGTCCCACGTGGGTCCCTTGATTGGACCATTCTGCCGCTTGGCGTGAACGCCTCCAACTTTACGTCTCTTTCCCACCAAGACCGATTCGTGTCCCCCGTGTTTCCATGATCGTATTTGTCGTTCAACGCATCAACGTCAATGGCTTGCAGTCCTGCTGTTAGCGCGAGGTCACTAGCCGGTGCTTTCCAAACATGAGGGCGATACCGTCATCTCAGTTCCAGAGTTTCAAGACACCAGGGAGCATGATTTGGAGTCGTGATAGACTCATGCTACAATGATGGTCTTCTGTTAGTGAGCCCTATATATTGTCAAGAGCTCATAAACAAAGAGTTGCCGATCCGGCGAATGAAGTCTGCCAATACAAACATGACGAAAATGGGCAAGCAAGAGCACCCAATACGAACACTGTTCCTATTAACTCAGAAACCATGTCATCCTCGTGCCACCTTGAGAGTGCAAGATCTGGCCAAGGTAATCAATTGAGGCTGGGTTTTTGTTGCGGTATGAAGAGCAAATGTATATGACGAGTGTATTGTGTTCTGTGTTGTTGTTGTTGTCGTTGTATCTATGTTCTCCAAGGCTCGCTGCGGGGTTTGTTTTGATGACTTCTTTGTAACACAGCCAAGGTAAGAGGTGCTCAACAACATGAGGAAGTAACACCAGACCACCGCCAACAACACGTGATCCGCTTCTCCTCTCAACCGTTACAGTTTTGAAGGACGGACATGTGGAGGCGGGAGCAGCCGCCGGGATACATCTCTCCTACGGTACCGTGGCCGTGCGGCCGATGAGCCAGTTCAGCCGATGAGCCACCCGGAACATCACAACATTGAGATACCCACAACTTTAACGCGTCACAACTCCACCACTGTAGATCTAATTTAAGAAGTAATTAAATATTTAGAATTGTATAAAGCTAGAGATAACTTGTTATACTGCTAAGTTGCAAAAATGTTTAGAATTAACTAAATAACGCTGTTGCAGCAGCACAACTGTTATACATGCTTAAATGCAGAAGAAGCGCGCCAGCAATAGTTACTTAGCCTATAACAGGAGGAGGTACTAATTAAATACATAGAAAGATGCACAAGAGACAGTTTGCCACCTACTAGAAGCATGCTGCAAAATTTCGCCTCTGCAGTTACAAAATAGGAGGTCTCTAAGAGCTAGATTACTTAGTTTCTGCATTACTACAATAACAAGCTTACCACTAAATAGACTACTAGGATAGATTGTGAGCGCTATTTAGCTGACAGCAAGCGCAAGTACAAGCTGTACTTTAATCCATTGCACTCTGAGATGCGTGAGCACAGCGTTGATAAGCACAACACATACAATATAGATAAGAAAGGCTTCTTTATTAGCATTAACGTAAATTATCACTAAGCCAGCCATATCACCGAACTGGCCACTTTCTCTTAGCACAACCACCTTTTACCCTAACACAACATACCTTAACAACAACAACTTTAGAATACTACTAGAGAAGGCAGAGTTATCCTTACTATCTAGGCCTACTAAGCTAGCTAATTTTGTAGTATCTAAAGCGCTGCTAGAGTGTTAAACGTACCTTATTAGCAGGTCTCTAATTGCCTTTGCAATATTATATTTTAACTAGATGTATATACTAATTGCTAGAAACTTACTATACTAGAGGAGCAGACAATTGTCTAGTATATACTTAACCTTAATTCACAAGGATTTGCACCCTAGCTATATAAGGTAGCAGATATAGCTAATAAGATACTTAGTGTGTGTAGTAAAGAGCCTATTAGTAAACTATAGGCTAGCAGGCTTGTAACACGTTTAGACAAGCTTAAAATAGCCTTTAATTAAGCTAAGGATAGATAGAGGATACTACAGGAAGATCCTAAGATAATTAGCATGTAGTTTAAGCTAGTAGAGAATACTAAAGGTTAGTATAGTATTTATAATAATAATATACACAACCTTTATAAAACTAAGTTCTAGATAGGTGTTGCTTTGTCCTTAAAGGTTGTAATAGGCTTAGAGAGACTTGCTTAGCTAGAGCTTGTTTAGCCAGGCAATTGCGTATAGGTTACTGTTATCCAGAGCATCTGCGCTGCTAGGTATACAACCCTGCCTTTTATTATCTACAAAGGACGCGTCCACATCTCTGCCTAGTATAAGGAGACAGATATACTCTATAATTAGAAGCTCTTACTAGTCTCTAAGAATAGTTAGATAAACAATATACTTAGCCTTAAGTAGTTAAAGCACTTTAACACGCATACAAAGACGCGTTAGGTAGGAGTGTACAGGTTGTAAAGAAAGTAGGGGAAGGACTAGACTACTTTCTTCCTAGTCTAGAAGGACCTAGACAAATCTAGACTAGCTTTGTCTAAATAGGAAGCGTATAGCCTAATAGAGGTAAGGTAGGGTTATGTAATATAATAG